TTTTTTTTTTTAATCTTCAATCATAATCTCTTTTTTGGCTTGCACAAGATTATTTATAAAATAAGAAACCTTGTAAATCTCTTCGCCAACGTGAAAAATTATAACAATGAGTATGTAGATACTATGAATGTATAGTCCTTATCATAATTTTACGGCATTTACATATTGACAAGATTTGACCATTTGTTTTAATATCTTTTTATTTTCATTATCTTAATATATAAAAATCCCATGTCACTGTGTTCGTTTACGCTAATCCCGAAACCGCTTAATACGATGTTTCCACGATTAGTAATTCGCTCTCCCATTCGTCATTCATCTTGCCAATTACCTTCCGAATTACATTTGTATGCGCATAAAAATATTGATGCCTTGAAAAATATACTAAAAAATAAAGGATATCCATGACCTTTCTTTACTGTTCTTATTAATTTTTATTATAAGAGCGTATTTTACGAAAACATTTGTATTCAATGGTTAAAATAATTTAATAGTCCCAGCTTAATCAGTATTACTCCGACATAGTACATTATTAAAGAGATGAAATATAGCAGAATGCCCACTTCGGCTAAGATTCGCACAAATTAGCCATAACNATTAAAGAGATGAAATATAGCAGAATGCCCACTTCGGCTAAGATTCGCACAAATTAGCCATAACTTATTTAATGCATAAATATCAACGCAATATATTCATTTAGCATCAGGGGGATAACAGCAAAAAAGCGTAGAAAAAGCGCTTTCCCCGTTAGATTCTGATATCTCTGATATAATAATAATAATAGATTGGCGCATACACATATGTTAGTGTTCGGCCGAGCTTCTCCTCCGATTTGTGGCGTGCAAAAAACCTACAGTTTTACGCCGACACCGAACGGCCTATATATGTCAGAAAAAAAACCGGTGGAAACCGGTTTAGAAAAACCGAGTCAATCACCCTACCTCTACTAAGTTTGGGAAATTCCTAATCAATTTTGAACACCAGTTTTTGTTATACCACTAACTATATTTTTATAAAAAAAAAAACAGTTAAATTTAATAAGAGGAAATTAAAAGGTCCAAACTTGTGAATACGTCGCGCTGCTATTTTCGTGAACACTGCTGTATGTTCGTATGTTTGTTAACAAAAAAAAAAAACAAAAAAATCAATCACCCATTGAGACACTCACCTACGCGGCTTTGGTCGCACGATTTCATGACTCGAATCGGTTATGCAGAGGGGACTCAATGCGCCGGCCAAATGTTCGACACCAATGCGACCCGGGTCCCAGCTGTGACGGCCGGGCATATCGTTGTTGTTGCTGCTGCTAGCCCCCGATGCTGCTGCAGCCACCACTGCCACTGCTGGCGCTATTGCTGTTGCCGTGGTTGTTACTATTGTTGTTATTATATACACCACAGTTTTTGTTGCTCTTGCTATGATTGCTGTTGTGCGTGCGCGTTGTTGCTGTTTTGTGTTTTCAAATGTGAAGAAGCACTGATGTTGTAGTTATTGCTATTGTTGGTGGCTTTTGGTTTCACAGCAATCGTTGGACGTAAATTGTAATTATTGCTGCTACTGCTACTACTACTGCTGCTGTTGTTTTTGTTGTTGTTGTTGTGCTCGTTGTGACCACTTCCACTGCGTTGCTTGTTGTTGATTGTCGTTCTCGCTGCTGGCAATGGCACTTGCTGATTGCTGGCAATAATCGAGTTGGTGGCGTTGGCGGTTGTTGCTGACATTCGTGCGCTTTTTGCTGCATTGGTTGCAAGTAGTATTGGTATTTGTGTGTACATATGTATTTTATATGTATGTAAGCACGTGCGTGTGCTTGTATCGGTAAATGCACGCGGCAGTGTGAATCTTCCTGTTCCCAGTCGTGGTTTTGCCAATTGCTACTGTTTATTTCACTTTGACGATTTCCTTTAGTCGAACGTTGCTTCTGCGGTTACGATTTTTTATATCGCTCGCCTTAAGCTACACGGTAATTTGTGAGTGAGTGTTTTCTTTTTTTGGCAGTTGTTTACCGCAACTACTATTAATGTCATTTGCAAGTGGCAGTCACTGGAAATATAAGATTAAAAACTTTAAAGTTATAGTTAAATAAATATATTTCTACAATATAAACAAAAAATTATAAATTATTGCGACCTAGACGTATGCAGCATAAGATGCCTCCACAACCTGAGCTTCTGTGGTTTATTAATCCGCCTACCTAATATTTGTACAAATATTTTCGAACATGAACTTCTCAAATGGCCTGTGAAATAATTTGTAATAGCTGCATTTTGCAAGTCGAAGAGAGGCAGATAGAAGAAGGGAGTGATAAAGGGGCAAGATGAGTTAAAATTGCGATGTCTATAAAAATTATAGTTGATAATTACATTTCCATTTATATTAATCGCTCATACATACATATGTATATCGAGTTNTTAAAGCTCAGTTAGTCTAGACTTAATTTCTGCAACTTAACTTAACATAATATTTTGGCCAACCTGTTATATGAGAAACTGTGTTGGCGTTTAAGTTAAAACTAAACTTACCGTAAGAAACTTAAGAACGTGTAGATTTTAGGTTCTTAAGGTACGGCCTTACGTAAATTGAGAGCGGCGAGAGAATCAGGCTTGCCAGACTCTCGTTTTGATACTTCTTAAAAATAAATGAAAGCAACCATTTTTGTTTGCATGCATTTTTTTATATGTGGCATTTTAGGCGGCAAACTGTTAAACAGTTGAAAAAGAAAATATAAAAACAAAATATTTCCGCTCTTGGCTTAAGTTGATGTGTTGAGTAATCATTGTTGATTTCTTACGGTAAGTTAAATTAAGTTAAATCAAGACTAACTGAACTTTTATTCTTTCGCTATCCGAAACGGTGATTTTGTGAATTGTTATTTTTTTGACCAAAAATAGTCAATATTTTTGAGTTTAATTTTTTTCATAAAAAATGATTACTATTTAATTTTTGATCGAAAATAAAACTCATTTTGAAATACCTTGTATGGAAATGTATTCTGTTTGCAGCTCTCACGAAACACCACAAGAATTATTTTTCATTATTTCTGTTGGTTGGAAAAGTACTTTGCTTTGCTGTAAATTTTCTTGAAGAAATAAATATTCTAGCGTTTTTCTTGAAACTGCAACTGCACTTGATAGAAGAAAAGTTCTTTTCCATTTCATATGAATTTTTCGTTTTTATTGAGAGCTGCAAACAGCTCTTTAACCAAAAAAAAATTCAAAAATCAGCACGTTTTTTAGAATTTGCAAACTTGAATTTTTATACTAGAATTTAATGGGCTACAAAAATGCATAACCAAAAGGTTTCTAAAAAATCTGACTAAAAAGTTCTTTAGTTTTGCACAAGGTTCAGATTTTTTTCTTTGTTGTAGTACGAACCATATTTTTATAAAAAAAACTAGCGGAAAAAATTTAAACAAAAATTGTTTCATTTGTTGTGAAAAATTCTGTGGGCACATACTTCTGGCCGAGAGTGTATGAACGATAAATCTGTTGTAAGTTTTGAGTGCACATGTTGACGCGCGCATAGCAAAAAATATCCACCAGTAAACATTTATTAGAAAAGCGGGGGTGCGTTTGAAGTTTTTCGATCTGCTCAAAAATAAATTTTTATTTCTGACATAAAAAACTACATAATCGAAAAAAAAGATTTTTAATTTCAATATAAGAAAAGTAAAACTTAAAAAATAATGGCGTGTCGTCCATTTGCGTTGAGCGCACGTAGTTCATAGGGCGACATCTACCTCTCAACCGTAGAGGTAGATGTCACCCTATGCACTAGACTTTTTATAGGAACTTTGCAAAGCAAAGGTTTTATAGCTAAAAATTGTGTCGGACACACAACATTGGAAGTTGATAAAACCGTTGTAAAAATACACTCGGAGGTTTGCCATTGCCTGCCGAAAGGTGACCGCGGCTAGAAAACAAATTTTTATAATTTAGTTGTTCGATCGAACCCCGGTCGCACGGACCAGATATAAATGGGGGTGGCTTCGGTTACGTAGATCCCACTGTCGTGGGAACGATAGAACTCATAATGATTACTGTCGCCGAGGTAAACGAGTATGAACAACATTATTTTTTTAATTCTTACATGAAACTACTAACATGATAACTAAAACAATTAAATCAACGTTAAACATAAAAAGGAAAAACAGTTTTATCTCAACAGATCCCCTTAAAGAGCGAGCACCTGCAGTTAAGTAAACTGAGTTTTGATACAAATTTTCCAAATTGTCTCACGTGCTATTCATTAATTAACCAGCTTGCGATGAAATATGATCAGCGTAAATTTAATAAGAATAATCAACCAGAAATTTGTAACTTTTCGCGCAAACATGCCAAAATAATTACAAAACAAACAACGACATATGGCAGCATTTATTAAAAAAAAATAGCTTAACCCGGTTCGAAGCGCAATAACAACTACGAATAGATACCAGTATTCTGCGACGTCTACGTGCCATACATATTTATTCAATAAAGCAGCGAGGCGGCGTGTAAAACTGAGACAATAATGCAACATTACAAGGAACGTGCAACTCTACAACTGCAACATGTGTGCATGCGTACGGAAACAAACAACAAACAACGACGACAACCACTTGGCTGCGCTGGTGGCTGCTACTTCGGCTGCTGCAATGCCGCACGAAAATAAGTAGTAGAGAACCGGCTCACAACCGGTTGTTGGTCCAAGCAGACGGCTGTGGGCTCGTGTGTTTATATTGGTGCATTCATCCAGGCCTGGTGACGTCTATGCCTAATGCTGTCGCTGTGCTGTGACTTCGACTGCGACTGCGGCTGTGCCTGCGATTATGGCGCAACGTTCAAATGTAACCGAACTACAACTTTAATTGCATACCAATGTGGCTCCTAAGTTCTTACGCCGTTGGCCGTCGCCCCCCACCTCCACCGCTGCTACCTGAATGTGTGGCAGGCGAGCCGGTGTGAATGCCGCTGGACACCATAGCCCTGTTGGAATGCCTGGCAACTGCTTGTGCCCATGCTTTTGCCGTCAAAGATGTGAACTCATTGGCTTCGGGCTATCGCAGATAATCGTCAGCGTTGTCAATAGCAGTCAACTAATTTCATGTATTTCATATTTTATAAGAAATTTATGAGTTAGTAAGTATTTACTGCTAAGCGCGCGCACTACCCTTTCTTTCACGGGTCTTACTTACATCTGACAGTTACGATGCGGCCACTAAGAAAGGAGAAACCGTCACCGGACAACCGACAACCGACAGCCGCAACATAAATGCGGCAACAACAGTCAAGAGTCAACCATTGAGTGCGTCATTGATGCTCCATCCGCCGTGGCTGTGTGGTTGAAAATGCAGCGAATAATGATGTGGCAGCTTGGAATTTTGCAAATGACGAAGATGCTGCTGCTGCCTTTAATTACGCTGCAGTGTAGGCTCGCTATACCACAGTGGTAATGTCAACTTGTGCGACGGCGCAAACCGGCTGATTATAACGCTAATAGATGGTGATGGCTTCTGCAATGAAGGGAGTTTGCGCAGCTACAGATGCTTAAGCTTGCTTTGGCTACGTTTGCGGCAAAGTGTAAACTATGGTGCAAATTAGTGTTTGGCGATCGCTTAGCAAAAGTGCGACATGTCGTTATGTCTATGTCCCATGGCTATCGAAGCGTTTTGATGTCACTAGTAGCCATTTATTATGCGTACACTTTTTAATGTTCAAACATATTTACTTACTGACAGCGCAAGTGAGGTGTAAATTGGGAGCTTATGTCAATCCTTCGTTGGGTTGGGCTGGGTTCTTTTTTCAGGGACTATTGTAAGCAATATAAACTTATTGTGATGCTCATGAGAAAAAAGTGCAATAATTTCGAATACAGCTAAGTAGCTTTTAAGAAATATGGCATCCCAAAAATTTGATGGGCATTATTCGAAGCGCTGAATACCCAAATGATCTCTAGTTCTCCTTCGTTCATCTAAGTATTTGCCTCCTCGTCTGCCGGAAGAGAACCAATCAGCAGTGAATTTTGAAGATACATCAGGTGCCAGGCGTCACATGCGAAAGTGAAATCGTAACTTCATTGGGACTTTTGAAATTGGATTGAGAGAGAAAATTTGAAAATGCAATATTTAATATGAAAATTGATCCGCTGGATCGCTGTGTAGTAAAGTTGTATGTAAAAGATTTATTTATGCTACCAAACGGTTCATATTCAAAGTATATTTTGGCTACATAGAAACAAATTTTTTTACAAAAAATGTACCCCCTAGGTGGCGCTAGAATCAATGTATTTGCTACAGTACGATCTTTCTTTGTAAATG